CATAAACAGAGAGAGAAGACCATGTGGCAGGCAGAGATCAGGGCGGCATCTACAGGCCACGGCACGCGGCCCAGTGCCCTGCGAAGGGCACCAACCCTGCTGACCACCTGAGCGCAGGCTTCTGGGCTCCAGAACTCTGAGACAACACCTTTCTGTTGTTTAAGCCACCCAGTTTGTGGCACTTGGTTACAGTAGCCCTAGTAAACTAATTTTTTTAAAAGATTATGTTCGTTTTCAAAGTGGGCGCTAACGTGACTTCAGAGACTAAGTCTGGTCCTAGTTTATAGTTGCAGCCTTATTTCAATACTAAGCTCACTAACACTCAGTCAAAACTTGTTTTCTGTTGTTTTTCCCCATCCATACCTTATCTAAAACCCTGTTCACCTTTCCTCAAGGTCTTAGTCTGCTCCAGCCTGATGTCATTCTCTCCCTCCTCAGAGCCCTGACGGCAGGCTTATGGTTTTCTTAATATAATCTGCCTTGCAGTATTTGGATACTTTTTTATCCTTTTCTTCTCAGAGCATAAACTCTTTGAAAAAGTTTGTTTTTTACATGAGTTTTCTGTTAAACATCCCTCTTCCAGCATAACACTTTGCCTATACTAATACATATTTACTGAATTGACACTGAGACATCTATTGTGAAATTAATTATTGCATGATTATTATATAATTTTATCTGAGATGTCATGTATCATCTGAAATGTTACATATTTTAATAATCATAAACTCATGCTGCACTATGTCTGATGAGAGCCTGCCAACTGATCTTTCCCTGTTAATCTTACAATGACTCTTTGCCCAAAACAATAAGATCTCCATATTGTTCCTGGCAAAAAGAAAACTCAGACATTAAATGTCAATGGAAGATCCAGAAATACCCTCAGGTTTCACATAGAATGAGAGAATGCACTCATTCTTATGTATCCAGAGTCAGATGGTTACCTTTCATTTCTGAGAATTCACCAGCTGAGTTAGCACGAGTGATTTCTCCCGCTCCACGCTTCCTGACCTCTGCGGAAACAACCCAGGGAAATGGCACCGTCACCAGTGAATCATGGATGGTGTATCATGTTTTGAAAAGCCCCACTCAACTAGGTATGATATTAAACAGTACAAATAGTCAAGCAGGGCTCTGTTGGCTACTCCCTCCTCCAGAATTTCCCCATAGTTATAAAGGTCTTGTTTGTATTATAAATGTCACTTGGGGCTTTCACAATCTGGAACATTGTGAGCACAGACGTGGCTAGATTGAGGCTCGTCGTTCCCTCCTGAGAGGGCCTGGCACAGGCTGTTTCTGGCGGTGGGTGGGGGCCAGGTAGGGCGCCTCCCACAGAAGCTGGTCTGGAACAAAAAGACACTTATGTTTCATCTGCATTTCAAAGGCAAGCTTTTGGCAGTAAGGAAATTTTGGGATGGACCAGAACCATGGAATACTGGAAGGAGAGTGAGCTCGGGTACCAAATGTCCCCATGGACCTGTGCACCTGTTCATGCCTTTCTTTGGGTTTAGGGCTGTGTGAGTTTGGGACTCTGTGTTCATCCACTGGTTCAAGAAATGTTTATTAGCCAGGCATGGTGGCTCACCCCTGTAATCCCAGCTACTTGGGAGGCTGAGGTGGGAGGATTCCTTCAGATCAGGAGTGTAAGACCAGCTGGGCAACATAGTGAGACTCCATCTAAAAAAAGGAAAAAAATATTTATTGAAAGTCTGTTATGTACAATGGACATGTGTAAAGCAAAATACACCTTTGAATACTAATGTTGTAACATATTCTAAGTGCTGTAGGAATGTCCCTCCAGCAGGGACAGATTTGGCAAAAGAACCCAGGCATCCTGTGTTTCCTGGTGGAATTGTCTCAAACAGCCCTGTTGACTCCTTGTTTTAGGCCGCACTCCCTCTGCTGTGGTCCAAAACTGTCTCCCAAAATTTATATGTTGAAACTTAATCATCAGTGTGATAGAAGGTGGGGCCTTGAGGGGGTGATTAAGTCTTGAGGGCTGGGCCCTCATGGATGGGATTAGGGCCCTTATAGAAAGGCTTAAGGGAGGGTGGGTTTGTTCCCTCTGTCCCTTCCCCATGTGAGGATCCGCAATAAAGTGCTGTCAGTGAGGAACTGGGCCCTCACCAGACACTGAGCCTGCTGGCGTCTTGAGCTTGTGCTTCCTGGCCTCCAGAACTGTGAGCAAGAAATTTCTATTACTTATAAATGACTTGGCCTGTGGAGTTTTGTCACAGCATGGACTGACTCAGATGCCCTCCTTTTCCCCTACTGTCTTCTCTTTCCCCACCTTGCTTCTTGCTACAGGTGTAGGATTCAGGAAATGTCCTGTCTTCCTGCTGTCCCCAATACTCACCTTTCCAAGTCCCAGGAGCCATGCAGCACACCCTGCCTCCTGCCATGCCCTTTCCACCCTCCACCTCCCCCACCCCAGCCTCACGGTGCCCTTCAGCACCAGGGCACCCTTGATGCTTGCTTTCCGCAGAGTCTCATGTCTGGGACTGTGCAGTAGCTGGTGTTCTCACGGTGACTCTGGGCCACTGAGCCTGTGAAGAAACAGTAAACAAGTGTGAATGCCCTGGCGTCCTCCTGCGCCGCAGTAATCCTCTGTAGTCTTCAGGCAGCACAGCCCCTTTGCCACTGACGCCGTGGCACCGTTGGCTAAGCAGCCTGCGCCCCCTGACTTGGCACCAGGGTTGAGACTTGCGCCAGCTTCATGGTTACCTGGGATTGGAGGGGTGGGGCACACCTCCCACTGCTCTCAAAGGGACACTTGAATATGCAGGCCACAGAAGGGACACTGCCCAGAAGCCATCTCAGTGAACTTGGTGTGGGGAGGAGGGGAAGAGAAGGAAGGAAGAGAAAACAGAGTGGGTGTTGGGAGGTGGAGAGGGGGGATTGGGCAGAGCAGGGAAGCCAACCTGAGCAAACACAGCAGCCTGAGTGTGCCCAGGGCCAAAATGCTGGGAAGGCCCCTTCCTAGTCTGCGCGGTGGTCTGTGTTGCCTGGAACCCTGGCTCTCTTCTGGCATTTTCTGCCTCTGCCTCACATTCTTGTTAGGCCAGGTGGGCTTGCTTCAGGGACGCCCCCAATGTCTAGATTATGGCCCCCTTCCAGCCCCCCTGCACCTCGAGTTTTGCTCTGACTACGAGTCCTTTGGCTGCTGTGACCGGCCCAAGGACCGCCACATTGCTTCCTGGTACCAGGACGTTCTGGAACACTTAGATCTGAAGAGCCGTGAGCTGTGCGGTGGTTACATCAAAGACATCCTTTGTCTGAGCAGGACCCTGAGGGAAACTGCAAGGTGCCTTCTAGCCCCAGAAGTTCGGGGTGCTGGGCTGCATGCTGTGCGTCTTTGGGGGATGGTGCCTTGGGCACTCAGCCTTGTCTTTTACTTTTTGTAGAGATAGGGTCTTGCTATGTTCCCAGGCTGGTTGTGAACTACTGGCCTCAAGTGATTGTCCCCCCAACCCCCACCCCTACCAAAGTGCTGGGATTACAGGCGTGAGCCCCCACTCCTGGCCCCCCTGGCCCTTTACAAGCTCGCCTGCCAGGTGCCTCACCGTAGAGCTGTGTGCTGTGTAGGTTTCCACAGGTGGTTTCCACAGTGCTGACTTTGGTTTCCACAGGTTCCCCGAAGCTCTCCCTGTGGGGTTCTGCTGGCCCTGGTTCTTCTCTAGGCCCCAGGGGAATGGGAGGGATGTTTTCATGGAGCTTTGGAGCAGCCACTGCTTGTGTCCTCCCTGCAGTGCTCAGACGGCAGGGCGCTTACACCCATGGCATTTATGGGGGTGTGAGAGGGGGACCAGTGGCATCTGCTGGGGTCCAGTCCTCACTCAGCTGAGTGGTTTGTGCCAGGGGGTCTCTGGTGTGATGATGGCGGCAGCAGGGGTTGGGGGACTCTTCCCAGAGTCTGCCTGCCTGGCATTCAGAACCGGAAGAGAACCTCGAGCTGCTGAATGCCAATGACTCACAGAGTTTCTGCTTCTCCTGCCACTCCAGCAGCCAAGATCCACATCCCTGGGAGGCATCCCCTTAGTTGAGCTCAGCCTGAAAACATGATGGCATGGGGAGTAGTTAGGGGTGCAGGGGGAGAGGTCAGCATTGGAGAACTGATGATCCACTCTAGTGATGTGCTGGGGGCGAGAGACAGGAAGCACAGGCAGACTTTGATCTGAGACGCCCCTGGGCGTGGCAGTGCGATTACTTGGCTATCCACAACATTTCTTCACGACTCCAGCTGCCATTACTCTAGAATGCACTGGCCACCCAATTCCCTGTGCAGGGTGGGGAGAGGTTAACTGAGCTTCCCAGAGTGTTGTGGCCCATTTACAGGATGGAGGATGGACACAGAACACAAAACACAAACACACAAAACACAAAGAAAAACGCGGACACACATACAAACAGTTTACTCGAGTAATAATACACCGGTCCATTTTATTTTTATACTCTAAAAGATTAAAGTTAGTTCCTTGTATGTAACCACCCAGGCATTGCAGCAATGGCCATAAATTCTGGAATATGTAGCCTTATGGAAGCAGATATCCCCTGGCTCAAGGTTTTCAGGTGGTTGCTCTAGGCCAGGCATAGATCATGGACCGAGATTAGCAAGGATGGGCAAGGCAAGTCACAGGGGGCATTTCTCATCCCCAGCTTTTCTTAGGGTGACCCCCTAAGATCTTCGGCTGAACCCCAGTGGCTGTGCCTGGCTTAGATTGCCCCTCTTCTTGAGGGGTCTTACCCGTCATTGACTAACCAGCCGTCTTATGGGGATCAAGCAGCAATCACAGGAACAATGTGTTTATTGTGTGGCCACTAGACCCCCAATGCTGTGGGATGGGGCTGCTCTTGCTCACTTGCAGCTCAGGTCCTTTGTTATGCCTCTAGGCAACAGCCTTGTTTATCACAAGGACCTTGTCCAGAGCACATTACTTTCAAATGCTCGGGGCAGAACATGTACACTACTCACTAACTTTAATTCTTAAACTAGGAAAATATATGTCAGTCCCCTACACCCAAGTGCCTACATGCCACACGGATCTATCTACAAATTTGATGACCCCTCAAGGTGAGATCTGGTGTCACTGTCTTCCCAGGTGCATTCTCCTGAGTCCTTATCTCCAAGCAGGTCATAAAAACAGTCCTCCCCAAGAATTACCAAAAATTACCAATGAAGCACATCTATGCTCCAGATGAAAAGCAGTTTGGGCAAATGACTGTGCAGAACACCGTAGCTAGAGCACTTGTGGGGTGTTTGAGAAATGGGCTTTTTGCAGTTGGAAATGAGACTCATAACCCTTTCCAGTATGGCCAGTCTAGGGATCTGGCTCCTGTTCTGTTTTTTATTTTTTTCTAAAAAAACACTTCTGGATATTTCTGTCTGGGGCCATCTAACAGCAGGTGCACACCTCTGACCACTGGGTACGTGGCTGCCTGTCTCCTGGGCTTGGTTGAGGTCTTAAGGTCTTTGGCAAATACCTGAACTACCAGGTTTCTCAGCATCTCCACCTAATCTTTTCCGGAATTCAGTGTTTATGCACTTGGTGGACTCTGTTTATTTCTGCTTCTTTGCCCACCTCTGTCAGGGGTTAACTGACCTCCAACAGAGCAGGTGGAATCTTCCCTCCTGTGAGGCCGTTGCGTCTGGGTCCAGTTATCCGTCCCTGGGCGGGTGATGCAGTGTGTCCATGTGGGAAGTGTGCACCGTGCACTTTATCTTGGGATTGTTGCCCAGAGCAAGACTTTGTCCCTGTGAATTAACTTACAAATGGGCCCACAGGGGAAAACTTCCCTCTGAGACTTAGGTTACCCATAACCAGACTGGTGTTCAGTAGACACTGGGCAAAATTTGGTCCAGTCCCGGTCAGGGCTCAGGGGCGAGGCTCAGCTCAGTTTCCTTTTGGCTCTGGTTGTGTGTGCTCAGGAGTTCCTGGAAGAGGCTCGGGCCCTGAGGCTGTGCCTGGGGTGCTCTGCTGACGGCAGAGCTCAGACTGGCCAGGCTGCGTCTGGCACTGAACCGTCTCCACCAGTCTGCAGCATCTTGTCTCCGGTGCTGAGGGCCTGGAGCAGCCCCAGGGGATTCCATGTGCTTCAGGTGGTTGGTAACACCTGGTGGGGAGTTCTGCTCTGGCTGCGAACAGCCTTGCTGTGCGGATCCATTGTGCTTTCCTTTGGCAGTTTCCTCATTTTGTTAGGGGCTAAGTTAACTCGCATTTTACCTAAGAGCAGCCATTCAGAAGCACCTCTAAGGCCTTTTCACAGTGAGGACAGCTCCACTCATTCACCCCAGTGGACGCACGCTGAGTTGCTGCCATGCGCAGCTCGCGCTCGGCGTGCACGGGACCCGGAGGGCAGGCTAGCACCTTCGATCCACAGACAGAATCCGAGCCCTGGACAAGCCACAGTGAGTGAAGTGAGTGAGAGGGGCCCAGAGTAGGAGCTCGTTCTCTGGGGATCAGAGTCACGTTGCACTGCCCCGTCGGCTCAGTTGCAGCTGTGCGGACTCACACAGACTTTCCAAATCTTCGTAGCCGGACCAGACTCTGCACGGCTCGCTCACTCACCCCGTCTTTGCACCAGATGATCCCAGCACTCTGAGGGCAGTGGATTGATTTATGTGTCATCTTCCCTCCTGTTTTTTCCTCCTGCCCTTCCTTTAGAGACTACTAAATACAGTGGCTGAGAACGTGGACTCTGGAGCCTGGGTTTGAATACTGGCTTTGCCACCAACTAGCTGTGTGACCTGTGTTCCTTAGCCTGTGTGTGCCTCAGTTTCCCCTATGTAAAATGGGGTCAATAATATAATAGCACCTGCCTGCTTATTAAATGAATGGAACGAGACTCTGAGGAAGCCACCGTGAGGCACGGCCATGGTGAGGGGCTTGGGAGGGCGGCACTCGTCTTCCTGCCCGCCCTGCTGACTCCGGCAGTGAGGCCCCACGGAGCATCTGCCAGAGGGAATTGCTTACTTCATTCAGGCTGTGCTTTCGGAAGAGCTGTCTGCAGCAACATCCAGACATGGAGCCTGCTACGTCGAGGGAGGTCAGCCCTTGAGGAAGGACTGTTACGAGTTTGTGCTGTGATTCTTCCCCTACACTTTTCCAGAGGGTTCACAAGAATAAGAAAGGAACAATTGACGTGAAAACATGCACCAGGGGAACATGCAAATGTGTGAAAACATCATCTGTGACCAAAACCTGCCTCCCGCATCACGTCTTTTCAGAAGCTGTGCTGGCCAGTAGCACCGCGATGGCAGCGCTGACTCTGTGGGGCTTCCCCTTTCCTCTCACAAGAAAGAAGCCTGAACCACTGAGTGGCAGTTTTGAGGATTGCACCAAGAAGATCTGCCCAACCTACATCCACGCATGATCCCAGCAAGCTAAGAACAAATTGCCTTTTAAAATACAAAAAAGAGAAAGAAAAAGGCAAAGACTGTTCCTTCTACCTCCTAGCAACCAAGGTTAACAAGAAGAACCCCATCATCAGTGTGACGCTGCTTTCTTCTTGAGAGAAACCACAGAAAGAAACAATCCTCAACTTGGGTCTGGCTCCTGACTCTATCGTCTGATCTATTTTTTAACACTATGAAACTTGAACGTTAGGACACTACGGCTTTCTCCACCCCATGTCAACCCAGGCTTGTGGGGGGGGTGGGCTTGCATGGTGGGACTCCTGTCCCCAAACTCCCCTCCTCCCCACATCTGACACTTAGTGTGGACAACAAAGGTTGGGTCACTTCTGGAGAAAAGGTTCCGGTAGAAGGCGAACGTGAGGATGCCAGCTGTAACAGCAGGAAGAGCCATCAGAAGGAAAGCCTGCAGGGTCAGATTTAAGCCCCTCCTCCCCCTCAGCTTCTAGACACTCCGCTGCCTCACAGCGGATGGAAGGCCCTGGTCACTGGGTGGCTGTGGCCAGATGACAGACACAGTACCTCCCAGGGGCAGAAGCTTAAAGCACATGGAAATAAAACCTGATCATTTCCATGGGCACTTAGTGTTTGGCACTTGAGAATGAAAAAGAGTCCCCAATGGCTGAACGCAAGTATTCCCAATTCACTCTACGACATTCATTTCTGTTTGCCTGGTACATACTGTATTCTGTTAAAGAAAAAATAGTTTTTATTAAAAAGCATGTGAAAAATTAAAAAAAAAAAAAAGAATGGAATGACGTCCCCCCGTGACAAGGGTGATGGCAGTGACAGAGCTGGAGTAAGGCAGAGAGGGCCGTGGGGCTGGCCGGGACATGCCAGCTCTGCTCTGTCCAGCGGGAGTTCTCAGACTCCAAAGACCGTTTTATTTCAGAAAACGTACCCAGACGACAGGCAGTTTAAGAACGAGTGGCTGTTAGGCAGGAGGCTGGCGTCACTTCAGGCCTGTGCTGTGAGTCCTCAAAGAAATTTTCTTTAAAAGGAACCAGCAGCAGCAGCAGCGTCAGCGTTATCATCCACTGAGCTCGTTAGTGCTCCAAGTGTGTGTGTTGTTTTCCTTAGATCTCGTCTTGACCAGTCATTTGTGGTGCATCAGGCACACAGCACTCGTTTAATCTTCGCCATCGCCCTGTGAGATGGGCACCGTTCGTTTTTGCATTTTTATAGATGCAGAAACGGAGCCTCAGCGAGGTTTTCCTGCCCAGTCACCAGGGCGCCAAGCCATTCCTGACTGCGCCCGGCTCCTCTCAAGGGCCCGCGGTGCCTGATGGTGTCAGTCCTGCCTCTCCTGAGCTGACCGCACGCTCCCCACACGTCGACCCCGTCCCCACGGGTAAGTGACCGCTGAGCCCGACTCTTGCAAATGTGTGCCTTCTGGTGGCCTTGACGTCCCGGCCGCATCTCCAGATTCTCCTGTCCTCGCCCTTTCTGCCTGTCTTTTCAGGCGAGCAGCCTCAGGCAGGTGCAGGTGGATCCAGGTCAGGCCAGTCGCCGGCGAGTCCATTTCTGGCCCTGCATGGGCCGCGACGAGCTGCGGGCAGCACCCTCAGCAAAACGCTGCGGTCCCCGGAGGGGAGTCTGAGGTCCTCCCTCAGGAGTGGGCTCTTGGGTGGGGAGTGTCACCTGTGGCTCAGTCCACACCTCTCTGCTGCATGCCAGATTGAGTGGGAGGGACACCTGCTTCCATTCATTCATCCCGCGCTGACGCATTCATTCACTTCATATGGTTCGCTCGGTGCTCGCGTGGCAGGCGCTGTGCTGGGTCCTGGGGACACAGCGCCGAGCTCTGAACGACTCTGACCTAGGCGCTCCGAGTCAGATGGGAGGAGATAAAGGAACAGCACTGAGTCCGAGTATGGAAGGATGCCCAGGGCCCTGAGAGGGCCCCTAGAGTGAGGAATTCTTCCTCGGGGTAGGTGGGAAGTCGGGAAGGGTTTACAGGGGAGGGACGCTATCTTAAGGAAACTGTTCCAGAGTCACGTATCACTGGAGTGACCCTATTAAAAGAATAATACATCTAGATCAAGGCCAGTTAAGGGAATTAAAAAGTATAAATAAAAAGAATTTATATTAAAGAAGCCTCATGCAGTTATAGTTTTCCTATGTAGTGCTTCTCTTATAGTTACTTTCCAGGACTTATATTTCTCACTAAATAAATGCTTATTTCTCAGGGACAGTCTTGGACTTGCTAAAGGAGCAATCAGAGAAAGCTAGAAAATTATCCAATGGAACCGTAACTTCCAGCCCAGCCCAGGTGTCGTCCCTTAAAGGCTCGGCCAAGAAGCTGGCTTCGCTCACAAGCAGCAAGAAAACCTTGTGAGGGCCTGCTCCAAAGAGGAGAGCCAGGCGGGGGTCCCCAGGGGAAGAGGAGGAAGAGCCTGAAAGGCCACAGTGGCAGGACAAGGCAGCCAGCAGAGCAGAGGCAAGCTGGCACAAATCTCCCTTGACCTTTTTGCTGGCCCGCAGCGAGGCAGAGGGGCGCCCTCTCCAGGGCAAGCGGCAGCTGAACACAGACCTGAGTAGTCTGGGAAGCTGGGGTGGAGGAGGGGCAGGCAGTGAGCACTTGGCGCAGGACCGTGGTCTTCCTCTCTGGGAAATCCTGCTGTCTCCTGAATGGCCCAGGCACCTGTCTGCATGCAGCGCTGGCTGCGCAGGGCGAGCGCGCCGCACTGCCAGTGCCCCTGGCCGTCGTGGGCACGCTCTGTCTCCTGCTTGGAATCCCCCCCCCGGGGGTCTCCATTTTGTCTTGTAAATGCCTAGGACCTGAGGTAATAAATCCACATTTGCTCAAGCTGATGTGTACCCTTGATCTGGATGTTTGTCTGACGTTAGGAAACCTAGCACTTGCCTACCACCTAGTCTTCTGCTTCCTCCCAGGTCCAAGAGGAGGCCTGTGACCAAGGAAAGGCCCTTTAAAAATGCTGTCTCTTTTCCCCAGGCTGAAGTTCATGACCTGAACAAGAGCAGGTTCACTTCTGTACCCCCAGCACTTACTATTTGGCCTTATAATGTAAGTAGCATAGTAAATGTAGGGCAGAGGGAGGGCAGAGGAGTTTTTCCAATTGTCGGGAATTTACTTGGGTGGGGCAATGAGCTAACCGCAAACTTTTGCTTCTGGTCATTGCTTGCTTGCTACGCCGCTGTATGGGGAGTTATGGGATGAGGTCATTGAAGCACGGGCGACTGGCCCATCAGGCAATAGAGGGCAACCAACCCGCCAATTATTTCAAAAGGCAACAGTGGGCAACCAATCATTTTAAAGGTCAACGCATGATGCATGCGCAGTCGGCTTGTGCGCAGCTCGTGCACCGTGGGGATAAAAGGCATGCTGTTGTTCGGGTCAGGGTCCTTGCCTGCGAGAGTGGCCACTGCGTTGGTGCTCTGGGGCTTGGACCCTGGCTAGCCAGAAAATAAACCTCCTCTTGTGTGATTGCATCCTCGATGTCTCTGCTCTTCTGTCCGGTGGGGCTGTGGAAGGTCGGTCCCTAACAGTAAACTTAACTGTATTTTATTTGACTATCTATGATGTGCTGAGTTGATACATTATCTCAAAACCTCCGACCCCTGTCACTAAAGAACCTCCCTTGAGGATGAAGAAAGTGAGGCTTTGGGAGATGGAGTGGCTTGACCGCAGAGGCGAGGGAGCAGGGAACAGCTCAGCAGGGCTGGATCGGTGCTTCCTCTCAGTCTGCTGAGAGGCAGCTGCCTCCCTGGAGGCCCTCCATGAAGGATTGACTTTTGAAACAATGATTTGAGGAATTAAGAACTAATAGAGGAAATGATCCTTGTCTTCATCAAGTTCTCCATATTACACAGAGCGTCCAGAACAGTGGGCAATTTGGTTTAAGGAGAACAAAAGCATAAAATACAGGGTTGTATTTTAGGTCAACATTAGGAAACCGAGAATGTCTCACCACACTTGCCTGAACCGCACTCCACTCTCCCTTTCGGGTCATGTGTTCTTTGCTTTAGATAAGGTTGGACATACTCTGGGCAGAGTTTTTAAAAAGATTTCCACAGAAGCAGATTCCACCTTTTTTCTTCAGGTAACCTAACCTAGCCTAAATAAATCAAGCCTCTGATTCTTTTTCTCTGGTTCTGTCTTTATGGAAGATGCCAAACACTGGTCATCATTTTCTGAAGATCACTTTTCAACCATCTTTTAGTCTTCTGCCTTTGCCTTTCTCACAGGTTTTTTTTTTCTTTCTCTTCTTATCTACCTTTGTAGTTCTTAAGAATACTCTCCAGGACAGAAATGAAATTCAGGGTCTTTTAGCTTCTTCACAGATAAAGATATCAACGTAAAGGTGAAGGGGGCTCAACCCTGGATCGTTTTGTCGAAAGATGGCTGAAAATCCTGGGTCGGCTCAGAGAGTTTGGTCCAACCTCTGGACCAAATGTTGGTACTCACTCATCTTGTCCACACGGGCTTTCTTCAAAGACATGTGGCAAAAATACAGTCTGACCTGAAGTGTCTGAGCTGGGGGAAAGGGCTCAGAATTTATGTATCCATGACCACACCCACCAAAATCAGGGCCTTCTGAACACAGGTTTTCTGTAGGAAGATAGCTGGTGAGTCTACAGCAGGGAACTGATGGGAATTTTGAAAGGCTGGGAAGCTGGGGGAGGGGCAGAGTGTTTCTGTCCGGAAAAGTGGTTTTATTTTCTGAAAGATGCTTGGTGATGCCAGTGAGCTTTTATGGAAGATGCTAGGACTCTCAGAAAATCTCTAGGGCAAAGTAAAGCCAACATGTATTCATCTTCCTTATAGCTTAAGGCGTCGAAAAGTTCAGAAAGTTGAAAAATACACACATGCACATCCTTGCTCTTCTTAGAGACCAGTTTGTATCGGGAATGGGGAGAAACATGGACTGGTAATGGCTGGAGGGAGATGGAATCAGAATGCTTAGAGACTTCTCTTTCTTACTATGGCTGTTCCTCGATGACCAAGTGACGCCCAGGAAGCAGTCCGGTACTAAGATATTCAAGGATCTGAAATGGCTTTACCAAAAGGCATTCAGTGTTAGTGAAGGGCTGATACTTTTGTGGTAATTACTGGTATTTTTCTTGTGTCACTGAGTCCTATTTCCTCAAGGCACTCTTGAACACTTCACCTAGCAGCAGGTATCCTGATCACAGAAAGGCAAAAAGACCAATAAAAGTATGAGGTCTCCAGACCTAAAGTCTTGCAAGCCAAATTAGAGTCTTACAGTTGCATCATTTCCAAAGCTAACTCCGTCTAAGAAATATTTTTCTTTCTTCTTTGTAGAGTTTAAGACTATGTTGGGGATATGCTTTATTTCACCTCAACAAATGCTGCTTACCAGGCAAAGTACTCGTTCTGGGGAGACTTAGACGAAAAAGACGTTCTCTGCCTACCGATTTACCTGGTGTAAACCTGGTTAAGAATTAACTTGAGCACAAGGTCACAGGACTCCGGTTCCTTACACCTGCACTATGCAACAGAAAGATAATGAGAGCTAAAAGAAAAGCAAAAATAAACAAACAAATAAAAAATAAAAACAGACAAGAAGGATAATGAGAGCTGCAAATAGGAATCACAGATGTAATTTAAATTTTTTTGGTTGCTACGTTAAAAAGCTAGGTAAGACTAATTGTAATTATATATTTTACCTATTTCAACAAATCCAAAATATTATTGCTACAACATGTTATCCATTAAAAAATTACGACTGAGATGGTTCATATTCTTTGTTTTGGGTCCCAGTTTTCGAAATGCGACCCGTATTTCACCCTTTCAGCGCCTCTCCGTTCAGACCGGCCCGCCGCGCGGTCCAGTCTTCGATGTGGCTTCTGCTACCATTTCATGTATGACCAGATGCCAAGTCCCTTCCCCTCTGTAAGTGGCTTCCTGCAGCACTAGATCAACTTAGATATCCAAGGTCCTCTCTGGCATTTACCACTCAATACCCTCTGACGCTGAGTCTGATTTGGGCAGGACAGTAGGAGACTTGCTCCCGGAGGAGAGGACGCACGCAGGACGGCGCTTCAGGGAAAGCCAGGAGCCGTGCACCGTGTGGGGGGCAGAGCCTGCCAGGCGCCTCCTGTCTGTCCCCAGCTCAGGGCTGCCGGATTCAGCAGGGAAGGGACAGGACACAGGTAAGGACAGAGGAAGAATGAGGGTGAGGGGTGGGAGACGAAAGAAACTATTGCCTTAAGGCAAAAAGACTTCCCTTTAACACATAAACAGCCAAGGGACCTGCATGGGACTTAATATTTGCCATCTTCTCCTTCCCTCCACCCAAACTGGACGCCTGGAGGCCCTCCCTCCTCACAGCACCAGAAACTGGAATCTTCCATGTGGTTTTCTGCTCAGGGCCGAGCCATACACTAAAAGTAATCAGTGCTCAACCTTTGAAGAACAACCCCTTCCATGTTTGTTTCTGGCACCTCACAATTTCTAGCACTTTAAGTTCCACTATTGTGTTTAGTCCCTCAAGTTGCTCTGAAATAGGCCAAATTACCACCTTCATGTTACAGCGGTGAAAAGGCTTGAACCAGGCTTGACGGAGGGAAAGGAGGAGGAAGAATATAAAATTCAAGTAAACTCCATTTCTCACCTAGTGCCATGCTATTTAGGAGCAAACCAAAGCCTCTAATAGGACGTCTAGCTGCCTTGCCTTTCTTTCATCTTGCTAGTCCTTTTTCCTACAGTTCAGAGGTTAGAACTGAGGGGAGGAAGGTATATCACTGGGCTCTGTGTCCCACCAGGAGGGCGGTGGGCCTCAGTGCCGGGGACGGGGAGGGGCTGCCCACTCAAAGCAACAGGAGAGAAATCCAGGCTCTGGAGCACTTTTGCCGACTGTACGCCTGACCTTCTTGTTACAAGCTGAATGTGTCTTCCCAAAATGTGTATGTTGGAATCCTAACCCCAGTACCTCAGACTGTGACCCTATTTGGAGACAGAGTCTTTACAGAGGTAATGAAGTTAAGTGAGGTCCTTGCAAAGATGCAAAAGATGTGGGAGGAGACCAGCCACCTGCAGGCCAAGGAGAGAGGCCTGGACAGACCTTCTCTCACTGCCCACAGAAGGAACCAACTCTGCGATACTTTGATTCAAACTTCTAGCCTCCAGAACGGGAGACACACACTTCTGTTGTTGAAGGCACCCAGTATGTAGTACTTTGTCAGACAGCCCTAACAAACTGATGCAGCTCCTCAGAATCACCTCTGAGATGGAACATAAAGCCAGTTCTTGAAGGCCCTTGTACACAACATAAGACATCAGGCTAAGATGTTTCAGGTGGAAGGAACCAGGTGCGATGAGAAATTAAGGAGCCTGCAGGGTGAGCCTGAGAGGGAAGGAATTTTCTATAGGAAAAAATGAACTTGACTATGAAGTTTGCCTTACCCAAGTACAAGAAGACCCTTAAAGTTCTGGAGCAGAGGAGGAAGGAAAGCCACACATTGGACAGTAAGTCTCAGAGCAATCGGCAGGGAAGCTGGACAAGGAAGAAACAGAGAGGCTACAGAACACTAAGGGTGACAAAAATGTCAACCTGGGTGGAGAGGCAGTGGAAGTAGAAAAAAGACAGAGGATGAGAAGGCAGCTCCCAAATTCTTTCCCTGCTTCTTTTTTCTCCTTAATTTACTAAATGACAATTATAGATGTCATTCATTCAACATTTATTGAGCATCTACTATGCCCACACACTATTCAGGACTGGGAATACAGCCGGAATAAAACAGATAAAAGCTCCTGCCCTCCAAGAGCTGACATTCTAACAGGGAGAGACAGATGAAGAATAACAAACATACTAAGCATTATCTAGTTGTGAGAGAAGGTTCAGTAGTACACAGGTGAAACGACAAATAAGGAGGATGAGGCAGCTTTAACATACGGGTTCAGGAGAGGAGAGAGACACTTGGAGGTGTGGCCCACTAGGAGAACATGATCTTCACTCTCTCCTTCATGCAGGAACAAATCATGCTGTGGCAATAATATCATTCCTTCAATAAATGGTTCCAATAAGCAAAAAAAGGATGAGGCAGTCAAAATCCAACCATTTTTTATCTTTTAGAGCAGGAACAGAGCTTTTGCTCACTCTGTCTCCTCTAGCATTGTGTGAGTACTCAATAAATA